TGCTGAACCTTGAATAGAAGGGGATCAGATTCTGTCACTTCTTTTTGCTGTTATTTTTCATTTGCTGCTTCTCCTTTGATAATTAGTTAGCTTCATAAGTAATATTCACCCTGTTACCTAGTGTCTAGACTTGTGTCATTTTCCAGAGGGTCAGAGTGATGCTGTGCAGTGTGAATGATCAATGCACCTGACTTGCTGACACCCTGACCTTTGCTGGACTGCCAGGCAAGGCGACCCCTTCAGTGTATCCACAGTTCGTCAGGCTCCACCTTGACTCTTGAGCTGTGGAGGTGTTTGCAAGCAGCAGCTGCCTGTGTTTCCTCCCGCGTGTAGACCATCGTGCTGCTGAGTGACCTGGCCACCACCCTGGATGCGCAGGGCCGCTCCGACGAGGCCTGGGTTCACGCACAGAGGGCGTCAGACCTGGCGAGACAGGTGGAGCACCCTGAGCTCCACGTGCTGCTCAGTAATCTGGCTGCAGTCCTGATGCACAGAGGTGCGGAGCGCGGGGCAGGGCTGGCTGGCCTCGGGAGGGGGTGGGTGTCAGTGGATCAGAAGCCTGTGCGTGGCGCTGAGGGGTGGCAGTGAGGACAGGATGCTCCCGAACCGACGGGCCAGTGGGGAGAGACGTGGGGGAGGCGCCGTCGGGCCCAGCTCACGTCCCGCCTGTAGTCCTGCCCTGCTGGCCTATCAGGCACATCGACGTGGAAACGTTTGCAGTGGTACCTTATTTCTGTAGTGCTTTACAGGTTTCTAAACGTTGTCTCACGCGCAGCTTAATTTGTTCCTCACGGAGCTCGTGCGACAGGGCACGGCAGCTTGATGGGCGTGCTCTGCCATTCTGCTCAGAATGCAGACCTGCAACGACAGGTCTCTCACCCGAACCACCGTGGGCGAAGGCCTTAGCCACCGGAGTGTGCCAGGAAGGGCTCCATGAGGTCCCGGGTGTCACGGGGTGAAACAAGGCCCCATGCCATGAACTAGACTTGTCCCATCACTTGTGCTTTCTCTTCAAAATCTCTTTCAGAATCATGGTGAAACATACATTTTCTTTATTCTTCCTTCTTTCCGGGTTATTTTAGAACGATATGCACAAGCAGAAGAGATCTACCAGGAAGCACTGAAGCGAGCAAAGCTGAAAAGAGATGAGGTTTCTGTGCAGCGCATCAGGGAAGAGCTGGCTGGGCTGTCAAGAAAAAGGAGACCTTTGTCGTAGCCTTGCCGAGCTCTGGACCCCTTTCTGTTGTAGCGAATTTATGGTAACACCTCTCATTCCAGTCCCGGTGGCACCCTGATCAATGGCTTAAATCCTCTGTCCTTGATACTCAAGTCCCCTCAACTTAGCCTTGCTGGAGGCCAAGCTGTACACACCGTGTGCACTGCCGCGTTTGCTTTGCGGAGAACACTCCCCCCCCCCC